ATCCAAGGACAACCAATAATAACATTTTGAGCCACTTTTCTTTCAGTTTATTTATTCTGCCTCGTTTCTTTTACATAATTATGACTTTTTAAACCACTTTAACATTTTTATTATGTTAATTTAATTTTGAGAGAAGGAGAGACAGAGCATGAGCAGGCATGGGGCAGAGAGAGAGGGAGACACAGAATCTAAAGCAGGCTCCAGGCTCTGAATTGTCAGCCAAAGCCCAATGCGGGGCTCAAACCCATGAACCATGAGATCATGATCTGAGCTGAAGTCGAGTGCTTATCCGATTGAGCCATCCAGACACCTCTTTAACCCATATTTTAATTCACATTATGTATTATTAATTTCTTTTCTCAATTCAAATATAATTAACATACAGTGCTCTCTTAGTGTCAGATATATATTATAATGATTCAACAATTTTATACATTACTCAATTCTCATCATGATAAGTGTGCTCTTAACCTCTTTCACCTGTTTCACTCATTACCCCCTGCCCTCCTAATCTGGAAAACACCAGTTTGTTGTTTATATGCAAAAATCTCGGTTTTTTTGTTTGCTTCTCTTTTTTTCTTTTTTACTTTTGTTTCTTAAATTCTATATATGAGTGAAATCATACAATATTTTTCATTCTCTGACTGACTTATTTCACTTAGCATTAAATACTCTAGATGCATCCATTTTATTGCTACTGGCAAAATTTTATTTTATGAATGAGCTAATCGCTGAGCAATTCCATTGTGCATATAAACCACAAATGTTGTAATGTATTAAGTAAATTAGTCTTAGAGCCAGAATTATTCCCTTAGTCTTATAGCCAGAATCTTACAGAACTCTATACTAGGTTCAAGTTTTAGAGGTGCTGAGCCTGTTCTTAATGGAGTCCTCTCTTGATCTCCAAGAGGTTAATGAGAGTTAACATACCGAGGGCAAGCAGTTTCTAAAGGATTTATTTTTGTAATATAATTATCCAAAATTTTATTATGAATTGTTTTCCATATCTCTTTGTATTATAAATTCATTGAACTATACATGTAAGTGGATTGAGTTATTTCAGATGCTTGTACCATATTAAACTATGAGCGTTTTGTACATATATAATAAAGGTACTAAAATTTAGTAAAGATACTAAATTTTGTTTAGCTTTGTAATTCCAACAACTTTTATTAGGTTACCTCATACATGGCCATAGCTTATTACCTCCTTTCTTATAAATGTGTGTTATTCCTCCATTGAAAGATTGAGGTTTTTTTCCCTGTCTTGAATGTAGGCTGATCTTAGTAACTTGCTTGATCAATGAATTCAGCAGAGTCTCTGGTGGAATTCTGGAATCAGATCACTCACTGGACAGATGGCAGCAAGAGTCCCTTCTGGTGGAATGGGGCAGTCATAACTCCTAGCATGTCCATGCACTGCAATCACTAAGACTTGCCACCTGTGGGTTAAGTTGGGGTACAGGTGAAAACTACACATTGAATCATTTAATTATCTCTAGACTGTGAAAGTGTGGGAGATATAGTAACTGTTGGACTATGAAGCTGGTTGTTGTTAAAGTTCCCACACATTCTAAAGGATGAAAATAACAGACTCGGGCCAGACAATTTCCAATGCATGATATGATGTCAAAATCAGATAGACAGCTTTTAAAAAGGTCTTCATCTCCTACAGTTAGAGACCAGATTGCATATAAACTCAACCCAACAACCTGATTCTGGGAAACAGAATAAGAAAGAAGCTGAATTCACAACCGCTGCAAGGTTCCTGTACAAAAGTCAAGACTCTGATAAGGAAGGAGTTGGACACTGAGAACTGGGATTCAGGCTTCTGATGTGTTTAAGATATCCCAGTTCTTCTAAAGCTTCTGATGCTGCAGAAGGAGTCCTCTCCCTCTTGCTGGAAGAGACCAACCTTCCTCTGCCAGAGACCATAAAAGCCCTCACCTGAGTGAGTTGTGGCACAAGAGAATAAGTATTTTTCTCAAGATCTTGTCCCACCTCCCCTCTTAGCTTTTAGACTAAACCAACGGCAAGGCTCAGAATGGTTTGGTCTGATAACTAAAGAGAATTGACCTATTATTCACCAAAAGAGTCACAGATTTGGCTAATAAGTACCATCTAGAACTGGAAAACATGCAGTATACGTCTTGAAGGTAATGTGTTTAGGGAGGGAGGAATATAAAGCTGGATAAGGAAGAATTTACTGATGTAGAACTCCAGTGACTCAAAAATGACCTTGTGGGCAAGACACCAGGAGTGAATCCCAATGTCCTATCAGGGTGGCTCCTTGAGGTTTGAAACAAATGACAGCCTACAGTAGGTTCAGTATAAATACCATTATTACCACGGAAGAGTATAGAAGAAGGGACCCAAAAGCTCAAAGAGCTTAGGATGCTTGAAAGGAATTATTATGTAAGTAAATATATATAATGATGATGCCATCAGGTATCCATTAAAGAAGGTATCAGGTGAGTATGTTCCCTGAGAGGACACTTCTTTCCACTGAAGCAATAAAGAAAGGCACTAATGAGAGGGGCTCCAGTTAGTGGCAAGCCAGTGGTATGAGATGTTGTTATGCATCTAGGCTTCCTAGAGCCAATGAGAATGATAGGATTCCAGAACACTTGAATAAAGAAATTAAAGTCACCACCAAAGACATAGAGGATGCAGCAGAAGTAATCATATTTTCTCTCCTTTTAAGATAGCATTCTGGCCATCCAGAAAGCAGATGGCTCTTAGAATATGGCTGTAGACTACTTAAAGTTCAACCAAGTAGTAGCCCAATAGCAGCTCCATACCTTATATGGGATCATTTACAAGTTCTCCCATCCATGGTCTGCAGCTAATGACTTAGGAAATGTATTCTTTTCTATTCTGATTGGAATGGAGGATGAGAAACAATTTACATTCATATGAGAGGAACAACAATATTCATTTACAAGTTTTCCTCAAGGCTATATTAACTTGCCTGCCCTCCTTAATCTAGTCTCCAGGTATGAGGCATCCTACCTACTACAGTTAGTGGATACTAATTGTAATATCTACCACGTTGATAATATCATGCTCATAGAGCAGGTTACACAAGCAGATGCTGGAACATTGGAGACCTTCGTGAAACATCTGTGCTCCAAAGGGTGGGAGACACAACACAAACACACAAACACCTATTAAGATTCAGGAACTTGAAATGTTGGGTGAGTTTTTACAGGTCTGGTGGTGAGGGGTATGCTGGTATACCCTATCCAAAGTAAAACTCATGAAAAAAGACTCAGAGGGTCCTAGAAGGTCTCTTTGGGATTGGAGGCAACATATTCCATAGCGAGGAATATATCTCCAGCACAGGTACCATATGACATAGAAGGCTGTAGGTATTAAGTGGGATGCAGAACAGGAGAGGCTCTGCAGCAGGTGCAGGCACAATACAAGCAGCCCTGCCCCTTGGGCCACACAATACAACAAGCTCTGTAAGAAAAGTGATGGTCATGGGAAAAAAGCAACATGGAGCTAATTACAAACCTCCATGTGGGAATATTGCTGGTCCTGGGCTTCAGGAGCCATTGTATACCATTGGCAAAAAAGAATGTATGTCTTTTGGGGAAGAGTTCCTAGTCTGTCTGTGTACCTAATCAAAAGGGAAGTCTTGCTCTGGAACCACCATGTGAACATGTATCCAGGACTGCCCTAATATCCTGGGTCCTCTCAGATCCTCCAATAAATAAAATAAAATGGGCAAAGTAGCAATCGTAAGATGTAAATGGAACTCCATATAAATGGAGCCCAAGTAAAGGCAGAGGGCAGGATTAAGCGGCAATTCAAATGTATATGAACAAAACTTCTCCTTTCCCATCTCCAATGCAAGTGCCATTGAAGTAATCTATGTCAATAACTTGTTGTGCATCCTTTATAGTTCTCCCTCTGCTCATTTACACCTGCATGTACGTGCACATTTTATTATATAGTGTTGGCCTTCTTCTTAATGATCATAATTACACATTGATCTTCAGCTTGATTTTTTCCCCCACCTAACAGTGAGTGACTGCATACAATTGTCCTCTCCAGGTCAATACAAAATTACCTTACCTAATTTTTTTATTTGTTGTAGAATTTGCATACACACACACACACACACACAAATTGACTTTTCTTACAATGATGTAAAACAGACTATTTCCTTCATTTTCCTTTTCCACACATAGTGCTTGTATATATGTAATTCTATTCATCGGCCTTTATATTTCTGTAGTCCAGATTTATAAAGGAGAAATTCTAGGTCAAGTGGATTTTAAATCGATTATTGCACATGGAAACTACCAGATTCTTTGGGTAATGGAGAACTCATACATTAAACAGAAAATAAAGAATGGACATGGCTAAATAGGAACTTCATCATCATTGAAAACTAATAATATTTTATCTATATGAAAAAAACACTGCACTGACATATTAATTTCATTGAATTTTCTTGACCAATGATAATAGTGAAACTTTCCTCCATTCATTTCTGGTGTAGGGATCCCCATTTCAGTGAATTGCTTGTTCATTTGTTTCCCCATTTATCTATTTTTTTTCCTTTGAATTTTAGAGTATTTCATTATTAGGGATATTATCTCATTATTTGGCACATGTCACAAACATTTCTTCTAGTTTTATTATATCCATTTTAATATTGTTTGTAGTACTCTGAACTTTTTATTATAACTTTTGGTTTCCTTGTCTGGATTAATAGTATTCAAACATCCACGATAGTACAAATATTCACCTAAGTTTTCTTCAGTACATTTTCACATTAATATTCTCAACATTTCACTATATTATTTTGAAACTCTTGTTATGTCACAGACAACAAGATGGGACAGAAAATATTTGAGAACTAGTCAATTTTTCAAGTCATCTATGACTTGGCAGTGCATGGACTCACATTCAGCTTCTGATTTCCACTTCAGAGATCTCTTTCCTAAACAGACTGCACCAACATCTATGGTACAACACAGCAGATTTCTATTTTACCAAAACCATTAGAGAATTTTTCTCCTCAAACTTCCTCCTGAATGCATTTTTACCTCCTTGTTCCTCAGGCTGTAGATGAGGGGGTTCAACATGGGGATCACCACAGTATAAAACAGAGAGATCACTTTATTGATATCCAGTGAGGGACTGGAGCCAGGCTGAACATAGATAAAGAAAAGAGTTCCATACAGGATGGAGACAACTGCCAGGTGAGAAGAGCAGGTGGAGAAAGCTTTCCGCCTCCCATCCGTGGTCTGGATCTTCAAGATGGCCACCAGGATGCAAACATAGGACACCATGATGATCAGCCCACTGAGCACTACTACAGCTCCAGCCAAGATGAATAGCACTAATTTATTGATCCAGGTGTCTGCACATGCCAGGGAAAGCAGTGGTGAAATATCACAGAAGAAGTGATTGATGATATGCGTACCACAGAAGGGTAAGCGAAAAGTGAGAACTGTATGAGTCATTGTGCTTATAAGAGCCATGGCATAAGGCCCTGCCACCAGCTGCACACAGACCCTCTGTGACATAATGAGTGTGTACAACAATGGTTTACAGATGGCGATATACCGGTCATATGCCATGGAAGCCAGGAGGAAACATTCAGTTGCCACAAATATACCATAGTTTCACATCTGTGTGGCACAACCCATGAAAGAGATGCCTTTTTTCTCTGCAAAGATATCACACAGCATCTTGGGGGCAATGGAAGAAGAGGAGCAAATATCTACAAAGGATAAGTGGCTGAGAAAAAAGTACATAGGAGTGTGGAATCTGAGATCAGTCCATATTAGAATAATCATCCCTACGTTACCTCCCAAGGTGACCAGATAAACAATGGATAGCATGATAAAGAGGACAATCTGCTGATGGAGAATATCTGTGAGGCCCAAGAAAATAAATTCAGTCACTTCAGTCTGATTCTTATTTTCCATTGGTCAGTTTTAACCTGCTACAAGAAGCAAAACCATAAAGTAATCAGTCATCATCAACAGTTACAAATAATATTTTCAGCTAATGACAGATTATCCTAAACATGTCTATAACAGGCAGTTATGGAAATATTGTTGAACTGGAAGAGAGTATTTCCATGTCTTAGTTCTGGGAGCTGTGCAAGGATACTGTGTAAACTTGAACAATTCATCCTTGATATCTTTGGATTCAGGAATCTCTATCATAAAAAGAAGAGTCCAGCTGTATTGTCTCAATAACCCTCAAGTCATAAAATTGTATTTGAAATGGAAATTAGTCTCCACATTTCACTTTACTGGCTTATGGGATAACAAAACTCTCTTAGAATGCCTTTCCTGGGAATACTGAAAAATCTCACCAATGTGTTATTCAGATCTTGACATTAGACATCTGGGAAAGACTAAGCAGGGGAGATTTTATTTTTATTGAATACCACTCTCATATTGGTAGGACAAGGTTCCTAGATGGACTTATCAGTCTACTCTCTCCTTGCACTGGTAATGGCAGGTGGAAAGGATAATATACAATTGACAAAGAGGTGACTCATATAAAGGAATATGGTGTCATGGAAGAAATAGAGAGGCCTTGCCTTTGAGATCAAGTGATCCGGCAAATGATAGACAGCGACTTTTCATGGAAATTATATAGAAAAATAAGCCTTTGTTGCATCTAAATAATGAAGAATTGTTTTCTTTTTTGTGATGTCCTATATATTCTGTAAACTGATTTTGAGTTGTTTGCCTGGAAATTTGTCAGGCAATTACAATTTATTCATTCTAACTATAATTGTAATTGTGCATGTAAAATATCAAGTGCGTAATACTTTATTCAGCGAATACCCTCAAGAAAATGCTCGTTTCTGACTCCTTAGTAAAGGAAGAAAAAAATCAAGCTGTTCAGAATTCCAAGGAAGGATCACTATGTAGGATAATTTATATGAAAAACAATTGGTGCTAAGCAACATGTATTATCACTTCATTTAATGTCCTCTTAAAATAAAAGCAATATACTACTCTGGAATTATACTATTATTATGTTTGGAGCTTCATATGTGATATAAGTAGTGATTGTATCTATTTAATCTATGTTGTATCATTATCATGATTATTTGCTTAATGCCATATGGAATTTATTTTCAGGAGTCAAAAAGGCAATTCTAGGCTTTAAGAGAATGACACGGGGCATAAATGTTTTCCTTTGTGTCAATTCAAATATGGAAAATATAGATGTGTGGTGTTTGGGATGATACAATGACACTACTTATTCAACATTTTTTAAATTTTTATTTATTTTTGAGAGAGAGAGAGAGCATGAACAGGCATGGGGCAGAGAGAGAGAAGGAGACACAGAATCTGAAGCAGGCTTCAGGCTCTGAACTGTCAACACAGAGCCCGACATAGGTCTCAAACTTACAAACCATGAGATCATGACCTGAGCTCAAGTTGGACACTTAACCAACTGAACCGCTCAGGTACCCTGCAATCACACTACTTCTAATTTTGATCCTTTATTCTTTCCTTCCTTCCTCCCACCCTCCCTCCCTTCTTCCTTCCTTCTTAAATTCTTTCCTTTCCTTCTTTCTTTTCTCTTTTTTTGTCTCTCCTTCCTTCCTTCCTTCCTTCCTTCCTTCCTTCCTTCCTTCCTTCCTTCCTTCCTTTCTTCCTTCCTTCCTTCCTTTCTTTCTTTCTTTCTTTCTTTCTTTCTTTCTTTCTTTCTTTCTTTCTTTCTTTCTTTCTTTCTTTCTTTCTTTCTTTCTTTCCTTCTTATTTATTTCTTTGAATAAGCTATTTTGAGTGTCTACAGAACAAGAATGATCTCTATGCCCCTTCTGTACCTACAGTCTGTGATCTTAGGAATCCTCATGAACATTGCCATGTCTCTATATTACAAAGAAATAAGCAGGAAATTGAATTTTTAAAAGTCACATAAAGCAGTTGTTTAGTCTCAGGAAAATATGAACAAACTACCAAAGTCTGTACTCTTTAGAGAGCTTGTGCTAGGAAGGTGATTTTCATGACATTCAGATTCATCCTGATGTTCCTCCACCAGATTTCAAAAACTTCATAATATCCAGAATCAATGTACTCAGTTTTCTTTTTTTGAGAGAGAGAGAGAGAGAAGGAGTATACTCATGAGCAGGGTAGGGGCAGTGAGAAAGAGAGAGAGGGAGAGAATCTTAAGCAGGCCCCATGGTCAGCATGGAGCCCAACAGTGCGCTCAATCTCGCAACCCTGAGGTCATGACCTGAGCCAAAACCAAGAGTTAGACATTTAGGTGACTGAGCCATCTAGGTGCCCCTGTACTCACTTCTTTAAGGATATCCTGCATGTAGCTCCTTCAACTGCTTCAAAGGAAATGGTCATTTTCTAGAAGAATGGAACACTAATTTCCTTTATAGTGGTAACTGCTTCCAAGAAACATGACTTTCTAAATACTTGGTGAAGAAGACAAACTCCATCTTGAAGAGCCTGGGAGTAAAGAGATACTGTTTCCCCTGCACATTAATGCACAGACTGTACAGAATAAGGGACATTTTCTCAGGGGTTTACAACAGCTTAGGTCCCCAAAGAACTGAAACCTCAAGAGTTTACACCTAAAGGGACAAAATCAAGAAAAATCTCCATGGCATTTTGACCAAGTATTATTTCCTAACTATATCTTTTCTCAGAGAAGATCCCTAGGAGATCAATGTGAATTTTTCTCCCACTTTTGGATCTTTCTTGCCAAAAAGAGTCTCTTTTCTAACAGTGGGAGGTAATGCACTGGGCACGCAGAAATACCTGGGAGGAAGTAGTTTATCGCCTGGATTCTGGAGACATATCACCTGGTGTTAATCTCAATTCCACAGCTTTACTGCTTATGTTTCTTTGAGCAAGTTTTTAAGTCTCTCTGTGCCTCATTCTCTTAAGCTCTACAATAAGGAAGACAACAGTATGTAGTTCACAGATATCTTGGAAGGATTTAATGAAGTCATATATTTAATGCCCTTAAAGAGTATCCAGTACAAAATCAGTGCTCATTAATGTTATGTATCATTATTAGAGATTTATACCACAGTTGGGGACACAGTATCTAGACATTGAAAAGGCACTGCAGTGCAAGGTAGCTTTTGTTTTTCTCCAGGCAAAATAAAACACAGTCACTGGACTCCACAGAAATCACTCCACCAACTAAGAACAGCCATGCACCACCACCCATGGAATCAAGAAAGAGCTATCAATCTGTCAATCCTGTCTGTATCTGGGCTGGGTGAGGTTTCCCATGTTGAGTCAAATTAAACTGCAGGCTCCACTCCTGGTGGTGCCTTTCCATCAATTCCTTTAAGTTTCAGCTTTGCAACCATACTCCCCCAGAACCCAAACACTTTGGTTTCCCAGAAGCTGCCTGGCGAGTCATGGGAATAATGCTGCTGCATCGCCAGTCAGCATCATTTATGGTCGGAGCTATGACGGTATCTGATCGTCTTCGATCCTCTGACTTTCGTTCTTGATTCATGAACACATTCTTGGCAAATGCTTTCACTCTGGTTCGTCTTGCGCTGGTCCAAGAATTTCATCTCTAGCGATGCAATACAGCCCAGGCTGACCCCCTTAATCATGGTCTCAGCACAGTCACTGGACTCCAAAAAAATGACCAATCACTATAAAACTGAAATACAGGAGAATACTCAAGGAAGGAATTACTCTGGAAAGATAAATAAAATTTAGATAAACTGAAGTTAAAAAAAAAAAAAGAAAAGAAAAGAAGGTATTCTAGGTAGTGCTAATGAGATCTACAGAAGCAGGAGCGGAAGCAAGGGAGTTGTTTGGGAAGAAAGGGCCATGCAAGAGAGAAGCAAGTGTAGAGTCTGGTGATACAGGTTAAACTATACCAATCATCATCTTATCTGAGAGCATATTGTTTATCCCAGAGGGAATAGCTGATATCTCTCTCTTTTACCCCTTTAGCATTTCATTGGAAGCTCATTTTTTTTTAACCCTAGGAGATTGTCAATAATTAGTTAGCGTAAATATTTGTTGAATTAGTAGAAAATAAAAATCAATTCAAAAAATGTGAAGAGCAGGTGGAGAAGGCTTTGCGTCTCCCCTCAGCAGAGCGGATCCTCAGGATAGTGACCACAATGTAAATGTAGGAAACCAGGATGATCACACCGCTGAGCACTCCTAGAGCTCCGGCCAAGATGAAGAGTAAAAACTGATTGACCTGGGTGTCTGCACATGCCAGAGAGAGGACAGGTAGGAGGTCACAGAAGAAGTGATTGATGGTATTTGGACCACAGTAAGGCAGGCGAAAGGCAAAAGTCGTATGGGTCATGTCGCTTATAAGACCCATAACATAAGGCGCTACCACCAGCTGCACACAGACCCTCTGGGACATAATGAGTGTGTACAACAATGGTTTACAGATGGCGATATACCGGTCATATGCCATGGAAGCCAGGAGGAAACATTCAGTTGCCACAAAAAGACCAAAGCACCACATCTGTGTGGCACAACCCATGAAAGAGATGCCTTTTTTCTCTACAAAGATATCACACAGCATCTTGGGGGCAATGGAAGAAGATGAGCAAATATCTACAAAGGATAAGTGGCTGAGAAAAAAGTACATAGGAGTGTGGAATCTGAGATCAATCCATATGAGAATGATCATCGCTACGTTACCTCCCAGGGTGACAAGATAAACAATGGAAAGCATGATAAAGAGGACAATCTGCTGATGCAGAATATCTGTGAGACCTAAGAATTGAAATTCAGTCATTTTGGTCTGATTCTTATCATCCATTGGTCAGTTTTAACCTGTTATAAAAAAGAAAAATAATATTCATCAAAAAACAATCAACAGTTACAAATAAATTTTAAGACAAGAACATATTATGCTAAACAGATCTTTATTAGACAATTACTGAAATATTGTTGAACTGAAAGACAATATCTCATGTACTAGGTTTAGGAGTTGTGCAAAGATTCTGTGTAAACTTTGACCACTCACCTTCGATCTCTTTGGATTCAGGACTCTCTCCCATAGAAAGAAGAGTACAACTACATTGTATAAACCTCCCTCAAGTTCTAAAATTGTATTTGAAATGAGAATTACTCTCCACATTTCATCTTACTGTGCTATCGGATAATATAAGTCACTTTGGAATAAGTTTGTAGGGAGGACAGTAAAGTCTCACCACTGTGATATTCAGATCCTGATATCAGACATCTGGGAAAGACTAAGCAGGGGAGTTCCTTTTGTTATTGAAGGATCAGTATCATTCTAATATTGTTAGGACATAGTTCATAAATGGGCTTATCAGTGTATTCTCTACTGGCACTGATAATGGCATGTGGAAAGGATAATGTACAGAATTGTCAGAGCAGTTACTCATGTAAAGTAATATGATGTCAGGGATGAAATGGAGATATCTTGCCTTTGAAAACAGGTGAACTAGCAAATGTTGGACAGCAAAGTGGAAATGTCATTACAAGTGTATAGAAAATTAAGCATGTATTGCACCGAAATAAGAAATTCTTATTTTATGTCATTTCCTATTCATTGTAAACTACTTTTTAAGGTACTTATCCTGAAATTTGTCAGGCAGTATCACTTACAGCAATAAGATATGAAAATATCAAATGCAGAATAACTACGCAGGGAGCACAGTGAAGAAAACATGATGTTTTGTCGTATTAGTTCAGGAAGAAAATATCAAATGGCTTCTGAGGAGACAATCACTATGTAGGATAATTTATATGAAAAAGATCTGACTTTAAATAACATTTATTGTTACTTATTCTTATTCTCACTTCATTTCATGTTCTTTTTAAATAAATAAAAGCAATATACTACTCACGTTATGCAATAGTTTTATGTGAAGCTTGGTATATGACATAAGTAGTGACTATTGAATTTGATTCTTTTACCATTACCACATTTGCTCAACGATATGTAAAGTATGTTTTCAGTAGTCACAAAGTCAATTCTAGGCTTAAGTTAGGAGCATCAGGTATGGCATAAATGTTTTCAATTATGGTATTCCAAATATACTAATAACAGGTATGTGAAGATGAGAGTAGTCTAGGTAGGCTGCTTCTAGTTTTGGTCAAACCATTCTTTACTTTTTTT